AAGTACAAGACCATCCATAAAAAAAATAATGCTCCTGATTTTGGACTGCTGAAACGTTAGTATAACGAAGCTTTAGGTGGAAGAAAGATTATCTTGAAAACGAAACTATCACCTTACTCTCCACTCTGAACCCACATAATTTTTATGTACTCGAGGTTCTGAATAACCGGCTGAGGCATATAAACGTACCGGCACACCGAGATTATTATTTACACGAGATAAGCATACTTTGCCATGTGCGTTTCGGCGGAGAATCTCCTAACCCCCTGCATAGTTCACGCCTACGACCTGTAGATTGCGTTTCAGTCATTAGTTTTTAGATGGCTGTACAAATTTGCTTGTTTGTGCTGTTTTTGAACCCTGTACTTGGAGATACTTGTACTTTGGAGGAGGTTGCGCACCATTAGTCGGCTAGTATAAAATCCGCAGGTTTGTTAGTACCGGTTTATAATGTCTTATGAATGTTGGTTCCAAACCTGAAATCAGGGCGTCTTGAGAACCAAATTCGCCAGGTTCGGATACTCTGTGATTTCGTGTAATGTCCACACTCGCAGGTCAGCAGTGGTGGGGGCTGTATGCAGTTTTCACTGTCCTTTACTTTATGCAAACATTCATGCGGAGCCGACGACCAGTTTCTAGGACGCCAGGAAGTTATTAATATGACATGGACAAGAGACAGTTTGAAAAATGAAAACAGTAAAACCAAGTGTAAACTGCAGACATTACTGCGAACGCGCCACCTGTGAAAGAGTTTTAGGGAAAAAAGGTTTTGTTAAGAAGCTGTCGTATACCCCGCAAGTACATCGACAAGACTACCGAAATTCAATAACGGCAGCAGGAATTATTTATATGGAAACGATTTACCGAGTAAGGCTTATAGATAGGAGGAATAAAAGCTTCCCAAACGTTAGCCAGTCTAATAGCTAATAGGCTTCAATTTTGACCCATGCTAATGGCCATGCCAGCTTAAAATAGGTAGTATTTTCTTTTCTAGAGCATATATACGTATGTAGGCCAGCCCTTCATTACGTTTCGTGTTAAGCTTACATTTAAATGCTCTTCAATCTCATACTTTTTGCCTTGAGTCCTGCATACTCCAGTATTAGCTGATGACATAACTCAAAAAGACAATACGGACCAGAGACTTTGCTTGCTGACGTTATTCACACAAAACATTAGAAAAGTGTGGAAGTGAAGTGTCTTCATCCATTTGATGACCGCAATATATCTGTAGTTTTGCCTTGACGTTAACTTGTCAGATAGTAGAGAAAAATTGGAGTACGAATATACCTTATTATGTTTGATTAATAGCGTATTTTATCGATGTTTCTGACGAATCTCAATAAGTTATTTGATTAAACTGGGCTAAATGAATATACGATTTGTTAAAGACTCAAAGGAGATTTGTGGTTGAAGAGCCCAGTGTTTCAGTGTAAAAATGCGGTGACTTGTCTTCACGTCTTCTGTCAATCGGACGTTCT